TCGCCGCCGCCGCCCCCGCCGCCGCCCGCCGCCCACGCCGTCGACCCGCTGTACAGGCCCTACGTCGTGTAGCGACCGCTGCGCCGCTCACCCGTCGCCAGCCTGATGACTCCCGATTGGTTCGTCCCCGGCGGCGGCGGCGGCGGCGGCTACCCGTCTCTGGCGCTCGAGGACGGCTTCAGCGCCGTCAGGGACTTCGTCGGGGCGAGGGACTTCGTGGAGACGAGTGACTTCGATGAGGTGGACTTAACGGTGGACTAACTGCCGACTTTACGCCTGTGGAAGAAGCTTGACCGACCTTCACCGGATCCTCGTCATCGTGCAAGGATGACTCGGCTGTCATTAGGTGTCGTCGGCGTTCACGCTTGCTGTAGTGCTCACTTCAGCCGTCCGCATGGTGATCTCGAAATAAACCGTTCTACCGACTTTCGGTAATATTCAAGTATACCAATAACTTTCATTCTTCTTGATCTGGTGCTTGCTGATAGGATTGGGATCGTGGATCGTGAGATACATTTAGCTTAAGCTAGAAGTTCGGTGACTATATGTAAAACATGACTTTTTTGTTGGATTAGTAGTGTTGAGAAATAGGTTCTCCACGATCTTGACCACTGACAATTAAAGCAGTTGCGAGGTGATTGTAACCTTGCAACCATTCGCAAATTGTTAATCTTCTGACAGCTGAAAACAGGAGATGACAAAAAAGCTACATAAATAAAGAATCTCTTGGAATGTTTTGACTGTACTGTGATCATTAAATGTGCGTTTTGCATAATGAAGTTAAAGAGAACTTTATAAGAGCAATTTGTAGCACATATACGGGGTGTTTGGCTCAATTTCTTAGATGCATTCGCTGTCTATTGCCACCAAGAGATTCTCCCGTGCTTAATAAATTGAGTCAACAATTTTTCAACTAGTTCTGAGCACTGTATAGGGCACTGAAGAACGTAGCGAATGGGAAAAAGTATGAATATTAAGTACCAATGTACTTAAAAATGTTTTATTTCCCATTCGGTCTGGTTTATATATCAGTTCTTCAAAAATATTAATTTCAATAATATAAATTCGTGAATGAATATTGTGATTCATTGGTGTAAATGAGGATATTTGTATTGCCTTACAATGGAGATTTTGACTGCTTACATTTACTTATGTATATTTGCATTTCTTCACTCTCAAAAATATGTTTTTTATCTATTAATATAAAATATTCTTTCTCGGAAAAGAAGAGCATTCTGAAGAACAAAATTATTCTTCTCCACTTGCAGAAATGAAAATTCATAATAGCAAACCTCTGTCTATATTATTAAATGAAAGAATCTCTAACGTACATCAGTTGAGCTTTCGCCATATGGGTGCCATAAGAGACTTACATTCACCTTGTGAAGAGTGGAAATGATCAATGTAGTGAAGGACGATTATAGCGTATCATCGATTTGTGCAATCACAATATTGAGTAGTTGATATAAGTAACAGACCGTGGTGAACTTTTTATTCATGGACATCTCCGTAACGTTCTAGAAGTCGATATCGTGCTCTCTAAGTGAAATTTCTTCCTGTTGTTTAAAATGTGTTTGTATTGTACTAAAGAGACTTTATAAGAAATGACATTACAAATATTTCTTAGAATCTAATTACAAGAAAGAGCAAGGTTAATCAAGCTCTCCTTGAACTACGGCGTGTGTTGTGAAGACCTCAGTGGACAAAGAAACATGACTATGAGCACGGCACGCTTCACTCAACTTCCGTGGTCAGAAATTCTCTGGCAATGACACTTACTGTAAAAACCTTTTGCTGCTATAAAAGTTCTCTCAGTATTACAACTAGCACATATTCTAATATTCCAAAACTCTTAAAAGACCTCTTTCTTCTTTAGGATAAAAAAGGCATTAAATAATTGAGGTCAACGCCAGTGAATGATATTTCAATACGCAGTGAGCAAAGGAATATTCGTGCTAGAGGAAAGTTTTCGAACCTTTGCGATCTAGGATGCAGATGTAAAAGGTTCCATAAATTTGTGTTTGTGCAATGTTTGTTCAAATCTATTTCGATGAATCGCTCAATATAGATGTCTGCTTTTACTCGACATGCTGGAGGTTCAAGGAAGCAAGTAAAAGTGGCGGGAAAGTAAAAAAATATCTCCACCCATTACTTCTGTTCATCCCTTACCCACCTGACCACATCAGGAGATTGTGCGATGGTGTGTAGAGAGAAAATGAAAAGCTTAGAATAACTTGTGCTTGCTTCTTTGAATTTCACGGAGATCGAGCGACAGGATACGATGAGTATTTTCCTGTGTTTACGTACTGGCAGGCG